GTTTTGAAATGGAGCCTATTTGACAGGAAGTTGGAGGAAAGGGGTTGATGACTTCAGTGGAAAAGTTCATATATTTAAATTTTATGAAGACAAACATATTTTTTTCTTTAGAATAGCAAGCACCAATTAATCATTCACAATAAGACCAGGAACTAGAGTTAGGAATATACATTTTGATTTAATTTTGAGTTAAACACAACCCTATCCTTAAACACGCCCCTTCATACACAACCACCATTCATACTCCTTCTATAACCAACACAACAAATCACATCTCAAATTATGTCAGCACTTTAAAAACACACCACGGCCTCTCATTACGACAAAATATCTGCACCTCCTTCAATTTAAGGTTTCCGAGATCCAGCTCCAGCTGCCTCTTAATTCAAGCCACTTCATATTTACTGTGTCAACCTCAGACAGAAAATAAATATGAACAATATGCCCTCAAGTCACTTACATAGGAGGAAAATTAGAGGACACTTGTCTTCATTCCATGCAGTCTTAGAAGGACAAAGTTATGGATCAGTCATTCAGACCTCCTTTCCAAACAAGTGTTTTAATACAGCATATAATGGGTTGCGATATACATAATAACCAATTTGTTCGCACAACAGATTTGATTTGGTGTATGGAAGAATGCATTGCAAAAATATGTATTTAAATGTCTAGAATGAGTGCTGACAGATTATGGTTTACCATGTAGCCAGTAGCCACACACCATGTTTCCCACATTTGAGCCACAATTGGAGGGCACTTGTTCATAAAAAATGTTCTCACTCCTGAAATCTTTACAAACAAACAAATATGCTCTTGAACAGATCTGGAACAGCAAATCCTGCCCATTTGTCCAACAAGTGGTCCTTGTTTCAGCCAGAGGACAGATCTGGCAATGGATCAATCCAGTCTAGCACTAGAATCTAGATGTTAATAGAATTTACAATATAAACAATGGCTGTGTTCACAATTGCGTACTGTCTTTTAATTTCTGCAGAACCTAGTATGTATATTGTGCACCTTCTGCAAATTTTCAATATGTATTGAATACTTGAATGGCCAAAATGTGCAGTATACTGTACAGTAACTGTGAGGAATACTGTATCCCATAATGCATTGCTCTTGACTTGATCCTCCATTTCCTGCATGATGAATGAACATAATATAATTTGTGATTTTATTATATTTCACTACTTGATAAGAATGGCAAAAGTTAAGACTAACTTGGATTAACATGCCAATTAACCATTTTAATTTCCAAGATGACTCATAATGCCACGTGATGTCATGTGACAAAAATTAACTTGTAGGAATTTAGAGGCACAGTTCATCCAAAAAAAGAAAAATCTGACACCGAATAACCTGCATATAATTCCAAACCTGTATGACTTTCTTTCTTCTGTGGAAACTAAAAGAAGATTTTCTGGAAAATGTTTATTTATCTTTATATTTATTTTATTCATATATTTTTTGTCCATACAGTGGAAGTCAAGCGTGCTCCAAAGTGGTTTGTTTCCCAATGTTTTTCAAAATATCTTCTTTTAGAAGAAAGTAAGTCATTGTCATACATAAATAATGACAGAATTTTCATTTTTGGGTAAACAGTCCTTTTAAATGTAACAAAATACCATCTGAACTGTTTATTGTTAAATATTGCTAAATTAAAAAAAATCCACAAAGACTTTCTTTCACATTAATAGACTATGAATCTAAGCTAAAAATAATATTTACGAGTAATGCAGTGTAACGTGTCAGCATGATTTTTAATTTTCTCCTCTGTATAAAAGCTTTGTGGAAAGCCTCAATTGACCAAATGCTTCTTTCAGCCCAAAACAGCAGGACGGCTCATTGCCATAGAGATCACATACAGTAGTTGAGGACACCTTGTCACCATAGCAATCTCCTCAACAGGATGGGAGGGCTGTGTTGACAGCTTTTTAACATGAGATGGACACTAGATTCATCCTCTGGAAGCAAGAGAGCAAGAGAATTGATATAAGCAGTGACTGATATAAGAGAACGGGAATTGCAGATAAATATGATGGTACTTTCTGAACATTCGAGAGCACGTAGCACAAAATAACTTACTGTAAAGGGATTTCACCACAAAATGAAATTTCTGTCATCATTTATTCACTCTCATGTCGTTTCAGAAATTGACTCAAAAATTTCAATTTCAATTTTTTTTGCTGGAAAAAAATTAGATATTTTGAAGAATGTTTTTGCCTATACTAGGTCTGCACAATTTATTGAAATAAAACCGATATCACGATATGGCAGCACATATTTTTATTTATCGACAACCTGTCAAAATAAAAACTTAATGGTTTACGTTTGACAGTTTACAGTAAAATTTAAATTATTATTATTTGATTTTATTTATTTTTTTATTTTGCAGTGTTTATTTTACAGTATTATTACAATATTCTCTATATTTCTTATTTAATTTTTTTGAAATTCATAATATCACAGTCATCTCAATATTATAATCAATAATCACAATAAAATCATGAAAATTATTATTTTATAGTCATATTGAATTGGTCAAAAACAGTGGGAATGTGGCCTAGGAAAGAGATTTTTTAACTCTAAATGAGGTTTTAAAATACTGAAAGTGGTTTGAGTCGGTTCTTGTAAAAAGTCAACTCGAATATGAACACCCAAATTTTCAAGTTGTTCCTAAACATTGCAGCCCTGAATGTATTTCACAATAAAATCTCAAAGGACTCAGAGTAAAAAATATTTTTGTAGCGTGTTATTATTATGTTTTTTATGATTTATTTATATTTTGCAGATGCACTCTCCAAAGGAAGATCACCCCAGTAACTCTAGAATTATGAATTCTTTCTAAAGATAGCTATTCAGGTAATCTGGTGAACATTCCTGTATTACTTCATTTCGCAATATAAATTGTAAAAATAATCTCTGTTTGAACAAGTTACAAATACTCTGCCTGCCTTCCGATATTTGGACAAACAGGCCTTTCTTCCCCAAACTCACACTACTGGCTGAGCCAGTCTTGTTATGCATGATTTCTTGGTGCTAGTGGTGCACAAATCACACTCTTTCACCTTCAGTCTCTATTTAGATTAGAAGATTTAGATAAGCCTTTGAATTTGCATGCCAGTATTGTCAGAGAATTAGCACTGATTTGTTTCAGTGCCACATACTGTATAATAAACACCTACAGACTGCTGCAAATGCTCCGGATATTCCAAACCCAGGATAGACCAGGAAATTGTTGAACATATTAATAAGCTTGAATGTGTGTGTGAGAGAAAGTGGGCATTAGTGCACGGAAAAAAATGAAAAAATCAGAGAGCAGACATTACTATTACAAACTCATCATCAGTAAGGCAAAATGAGCAGAGTCTGGAATTAAAATTGAGTTTTGATTTAAAGCTGCCATTGTTCAAGGAGTCTGAGGTCTAGACATGGAGTTACTGAACTCACCCAGTATCTATTACGAATGAAATGACTACTTTAACTAATGTTACATGCCATGCTTTGAGCAATAATACCCATTATTCTGTTAGTGTAGAGGAAGCAGATTCAGTTTGGCAGACGGCCCAACTGTAAAATGTAAGACGGTGTTTTCATTCCGGGTAAGTTTTGTAAGGTGTCTTAAGTTAAACAGCTACTGTACTTTTTAGTGTGCAAAAATCATGTTTGGCAAAAAAGGCACTCAGTAACATAATTTTCCCTGCACAGACACACACACACACACACACACACACACAGACTACAGTACAAAAGTTTGAGGTCTGTATGATTTTATGTTTTTTGAATGAAACTATTAATTTTATAGAGTCATGATGCATTAAATTGTTTAAATGTGTCCTTAAAGATATTAATAATGCTGTTTTAACTTTCAAACAGGAGTATAACAGTTTCCACAAATTATGCTTTCAGCATTCATAATAATCAGAAATGTTTCTTGAGCAGCAAATCAGCATATTAGAATGATTTCTGAAGGGTCATGTGACACTGAAGACTGAAGTAATAATGCTGAAAATTCAGCTTTGCATCACAGGAATAAGTTATATTTTAAAATATATTATCATAGAAAACAGTTATTTTAAATTGCAATCATTTTTCACAATATTGTTGTTTTTTTGGTCAAATAAATGAAGTATGGTGAGCATAAAGGACTTCAAAAACATTACAAAAAATCTTACTGAGCCCAAACCTTTGAACAGTACTGTATGTACTTCACTTAGGTAAGTTCCTGAGATATCAGAATGATCTACCAAGACTGTTCAAATCTTCCTCCTTATCGCTCAGTCAACTCACCTGAACAAACTGATACTATACAAGTGCACATTCAATATTTGAAAGTCAGTTTCTGTTTAGTCACATACACTTGGCTACAAAAAGCTGCACATTTCCACTGTTATTGCCCCGAAGGAAAGATACAGTTCATTTACCACACTATTGATCCTATAGGGCAACATGTTGTTGCACTATATGGGGTAAGTCGTCACAAATGGAACCTGCCACTAAACAGCCTTCAGAGGCTTTACAGCTCAACTATAACAGTTATGAAACACAAAACATGAAACGCAAACAATTATAAAAAATATATGTTATACATGTGTGTGACACGGTTTAACTTTTATTCATTACATGGCTGACTTGTCTGAAAGTTGCCTATGATTTAATTGTGTTGACTTGTTTACAAAATATGAAGATACTGTAATTTTAGTTCAGTGGACAGAATTAGAACAATAAATGCCAGTGTAAGATGGTTTACATCAACTATTGAAACTAAAACTTCTACTACAGAAAACAAGCGTTTATTTAACAAGACTTTGGACTCAAATATCTTAAAATAGGCTACAATCCTTGTAACAACTTCTTCATGTGACAACTAGCCCCAAGTGTTCTCTCGTATATATATACCATTCAATAACTGTTCATAACAGTATTTAAGTATGCCTGAAAGGATGATTATATGCATTTAGTCTGCATCTGATGCCATGAGTGTGAGGAATATGGCTTACCAACATCACAGAGAAGAAGAGATGTCACAGCGTGTCTCAGTGTCCAGAGTCTCCAGAACAGCGCGCTCAGTGCTGGAACAGCATGCGGTGGCCAGTGAGCGGAGAAGCGGTGAAGCACTGTGTTTCTCTCCCGGCGAAACCGGATCCTCCGGGCCACCCCGCCCCAGAGCTGCCTCCGCCTCCAGCGCGCACATAAAGGCTGCGTTGTTACCTGCAGCCGAAGCCGACACACTCCTGACGCCACGCACGCTTCTCCGGGAGGAGAAACTTCTTTTTCTGAAAGATTTGTTCCGTGGAGCGACAGTTTCTTCGTTTTGGCTGTATCGGTTTATCAATTTCTGCCCTGCACTCTTTTATTGCGTCTGTTTATAAAGTAGTACACCCAGATAGCCCACGCGCGAGAGCGCTGTTGCACTGAACATGGGGCGTAATCGCAGCCTTGCTGATATTCAGTGATGTGATGTTTTTATACACTCCAAACAAAAATGGTGCTGTATAGCACTAAAAGTGGTTCATTGGCTTGTAATCATAGGGGAAACACTTTAAGTGCTATACAACACCTTTTGCCAAATGGTGATGTTATGGAGATTTTAGATATGTTACTCCACTCTCATACAGTATGTTTGCTATGAATGGGAAATTACTACAATAGCAAAAGCTGTTTTGAATCACATTTATGCTTTTTTGAAGTCAGAAAGTCTCATGTGGGGGCCCTGGAATATTTCCTTATGGGGGGCCTTGGGGGCCGAAAGGTTGAGAACCACGTTATCTCCAGGAAATACACTGTATTTTAATGTCATTTTTAAATCCTTTCCTCAAGAGAAAGTTAGAGAACCTTTAAAGAACTTACTGTTGTGTTCGCTTTGCATGTTTTTTTGAAGTGTTAACTTTGAGGGACCCATCCACTTGCATTATATGGCTCATATTTTTCTAAAAATCTCCATTATATACATCTGGGACGGCATAAGGGTGAGTAAATGATGAGAGAAAAGTCATTTTTGTCTGGAGTGTCCCTTTAAGAAAGCTCCGTAATCAATCCACTCCTGGTTTTACATTCATTTAACTATAATAGGATGCGTTATTTTTTATTAAATGAATCAAGCATCCTTATCCTATCAAGTAGCATACTAAGTAACAGTTTTCTTCACAGTAACAGATTCACTGAGTTCAGGTGTCTGGACTGCTCTGTATGCGCCCCATTCATACCGGTTAACGAACAGTTGAAGCTATTCATCCTATACTGTTGAGGTCTATTTTGGGTTTTACGGTTACCCTGTTTGGATCAAGATGGTAGTGCTTTCTTGGACTAATCTGTAGATAGACCTAAATATATAAAGCAAATAGTTGGCAGCAAAATTTGTATGACCTTTGTTTTTGTAAATGCTACACTGATTAAACTGGAAACAATTCACAATTTTCCTCAATCCAATAGCTAAACAGCGCCTCCTACTGGCCAGAAAACGTGGTACATCCTTAAATATTTCCATCCATAAACTTTTAAGGTGTTTTGACTGAGTAGCGTTTAAGTATGAAAAAATAACGAGTTTTTATTTCAAATAACTGATCATTTCAATCCCGTCTGGTATAAAATAAAATGAGTGATATTTTTAAGCTAGATTTTACCCTATAAACCAGAAAAAAGAGAGTGTAAACGTGGTCTGTTAAAGAGATTGTTTGCGTTGGTTGGTTGGTTGTTGTAATGGGAGTTTCTGTCCTTTCAGTTGGAACATTACTTGACTGACATTTTTGTCACGCACCCAGTAATATACAAACAACAAAAGTATATATGCTGATTATGGTGTGCAAATCTAGTGCACAAAGCTTTTCCCATCCTTGAGATACAGAGGGAACTCAGACTGAGGCTGAAAAAAAATGTTGACAGGCTGTAAATGGTTTCAAAGGTCAACCACAGAATTGTAAAAAAAAAAAAAAGTTTGTAACAGAATGTGAGCTATGGGAGCCCTGGTATTTTCAGAGGGGAACACTGGTTGGCTCATTTGGTTAGTGCTGTAACTTGGTAACAAGCACGCTTAAACAGGAAAGCACAGGCCAGTTAAGTCTGAATGAAAGTTACAATATTGGACCCCACTGACTTTCATTATATGGACAAAAACAAAACAAAACAACAGTAAGGCATTTTTCAAAGCATACAGGTTTGGAACAAACAAAGATGTGCTCTAAATTAAATGAAGAATGTCCGTGGACTATTTATACGTCATATCACAAATGTTACTTTGGATTTAAGCCATTTTCTTTCTACATTTGGTGCTTTGGGTCATCTTCCTGCTGGCCTCTACGTCATTTCTCCTAAAATTACACCTTTTTGGTAGCTACATTTTTTAGGACGACCTGATCTCAGCAGTGTCTATGCTGTTTAATAGTCAGCTTCAGGGACTCCCTACGCCGCCTCTACAGTACAGAGAGGTTCCAGGTAAATGTTTAAACTCTTTATATGTATATAGATATGAAATGTTGTTTACATGATTGAAAATAACCTTGGACTGTTATTTTGTTGATTAGATTTTTGTTGTTTGCTTGGTCGTCTTGGATGCCATTTTCGTTCTGTGTGAGTTGCTTATTGACTTGTCTATCATTCAAGCAGATCATCACAGAATCACTCCGCAGGTGAGTCCGCTTCAGATGCCTAGTCGGCAAAAACCATGGATGTCATATTTATGTTGACACATGACACATTCATTATATGTCAGCGATTATTCTGAGGTTATCCTCTATCCAAATGTTCCTGCCATTATTCCAGGTATTCCACTATCTCAGCCTCGCCCTTCTCACATTCTTCATGGTGGAGCTGTTTGGAAAAATCTATGCGTATCGCCTAGAATTCCTCCACCATAAGTTTGAGGTGTTTGATGGGATTGTGGTGGTGGTATCCTTCATCCTGGACATTGTATATATCTCACAGGAAGATGCATTTGATGCCATGGGGCTTCTGATCTTGCTCAGGTTGTGGAGAGTGGCCAGGATCATAAATGGTATGGGGATTATTTTGACCCAGCAATACCTAGCAACTAAATATTAGAAAAAATTTCCGGTATGTTTAACTTACCAAACTGCTGGTGTTAGGAATTATTGTTTCCATGACACTCACAATCTAACCTTGGGGGTTCACCAAGGTTCTGTACTTGGTCCATTTTACTTAAGTAATTACATGTTTATGTACATTATCGCTAAATATCTCTATGGAAAATTAATGCAAGTTTTACTTCTGGAACCCGGCTGTTGCATTATTCTCTAATGTCTAGTCTAATCATTTTATTTTCCTTTCTTACTTTGCTCTCTTATAGGTATCATTATGTCTGTGAAAAATCGTGCCCATCACAAAGTTCAGAAAATAAAAGAGATCAATGAAAACCTTGTACATCAAGTAAATGAACTTCAAGAGCAACACACAAAAATGGTGAGTAGCTCTTCTTAAAAAATTAGTCATGATTAATTTAATTATTAAATTGATAGTGGTTTTAATTTAATCTTTCAACAGGACCAAGAAAACGCCAGGCTTCGTGCGCTCTTAAAACTGCACGGCATTGAGTTTTGATGCTCCAAGGTTATTCATTAAACACATCACATGAGACTGAGCTTAAGACTAATCATGTCTATTCATTCCATATGAAATGTGAAGAAGGTCAGATTACAGTGTGATGTGTTTATTGTCACTCAAAGCCAAGCTGAACTTGATCTTTGTCCCCTGGCAGATCTTTAACAGCACACATAAAGGGAGATGATTTTTAAAGCCAGTGACTCACGTAGGTCAAATTATAAAAAAGGGAAATCTATAAAGTAAACAAGTTTTATTCTAAATCACTATTTTCCAAAATCATTATCAGTATGGTTGTTTTGTCTATGAACTGTACATTTAATGTTTTCTCATTATAAATGTGAATGTGTTTGAGCAACTGAAAGCTATGCAATAAATACTATTTTGTAAATGAGATATTAAATATAAATAGACCAACATATCTGCCTGGCTGATGAATTGGCTTATTAACAGTAGTGGCTTTCGCTCATGTAACAGTTCCAAAATTAACAACAGATTTTACAATGGATAGTTCACATTTTATGTTCTTAAATGTTTTAGTGAGTTTTGAGTAAATATAATTAAAAACAGTGTTCATTACACATTTTGTGCATGTCTTGACTTGAAATTTAATTACGCTGTATACACACACATACATATATACATATACTGTATATACCACTATTGTTCCACATCAGTCCACTAGTATGAAAATATTCTTTATTTTTTTAAATGTTAATCAGTGCATTATATACAAAATGACTAGACAATAAGTATATACTATATACAACTTCAAGTGAGACAAAATTTTCAAAGAAACATGGTTCCAGAAACAGTGGTCCTCCTTTGTTGTTGTTGCCAAAAAAAGATACTGAAATATTCCATTATACAAATGGAAAGAAAAAGTCAAAAGGTAGTTTAGCATCAATTGTAGGAGGAACTTTGAATCCTGGACTGGCAGATGCAGACACATCAACAAAACTCACTGAGCTTGTGACAAACAGAAAACCATCGGCACTGGTAAGGAGGGCCTAAACAAAGAAAGGTTCCAGTGTTAACTTCTGATCTAATTTCACATGAAATCTGTAATGATTTCTGTTTACTAAATACAACTATTAAGTAATCGCTGTAAGTCATAAACGTTAAATGTTCCGGTATGTTTAACTTACCAAACTGCTGGTGTTAGTAATGATTGTTTCCATGACGCTCATAATCTGAGCCTGGGGATTCAACAAGGTTCTGTACTTGGTCCATTTTACTTCAAGATGGTAAGACAGTGGTATGCTGCAAGCCTGTGTGCCCTTGATAAACCATAAAAAGAGTGAAGCAAGACATTCGTTGAAAGAATAAACAGTGCTTTACAAATCAGCTTTGCATCATCATGGTGACCGCCAGTCAAGTTTACATGTCAACATTTCCTCTAACATAAACACTTCTCTTTCACTTCACTTCAACATCCGATCTCCACTCCACACATAGAGAAAATTATAATAAGTAGGCTGTTTACCGATGCTATGGTTTGGTTCTGTATTGGCACCCAGTCCAGGGGGTTCTGAGGCAAGGAATTCCCAAATGAGGCTACATGGTCAGGGAAGCTCTGGCCTTTTAGTGCCCACAAAATGACTTCAGATACCAGAGAACAATTAATTCTATTGGACAACCTACAGGAAGGGAGGACATTAATGCACATAAAATAGTAATGGTGATAAATATTACACACAAATCATTATAACAACAGCCTCTTACTTCAGAGTGCAGCCTGATACCATGTCAATCCCAAACAGAACAGGGGAACGCCGTGATGAGCCAAGCAAGCAATCCTGATCTCCAGAGTTTTGGAGGAAAGTAAGTGACCCTTTTGGGTCAGCGGATTGAACTATCCCAGTAAAACGGAGGTCAAGGACTTTGCAACAAAGGTGGATATTTGGATACATGACAGGCTTTCCATTTATTTATTAAATTCTAACATGATAATGAAAACACCAGCACACTTATGAAATACTCATATTTTTTATATAGGGGATCAAACTAAATAATACTAAGAGAGTTATCTTTATCACCACATTTATTTAATTTTATGTATCAAACAGGGTGCCGAATTTTTGTCATTTTTATTAATATTTTTCCCCATGACATTAATGATTACTGATTACTGACATTAATTATTAACATGCTGCCATATGGGGTATTTTTAGAAACATGAGGTAATATTAATAATTAATGTTTGAAATTCCACCAATATACATGATATAACTTTATTTAATTAATTAACCTGGACATATTTACTGAATATATTTTTATTAATAGATTAAAATTTTGATATTGGTATTTAGTTTTAAAAATATCCAAAACATTGTGGTGGACAGTTTGTGGTGCTGTACGACAAAATTTAAATTTTGCTTTGGTGTTTGTGTTAATTGTTTTAGTTATCCTGAACTTAGTTTAAAGATTTGTCTAAACAGCTGAGGGAAAAACTGTGTTGTACATATCAGGGAATAAATTATTGATGTCCAGTGCTAATGAAAAATGAATGATGCAATTGGTTATGTTTCATGACAAAGGATGCATCTGACCAAAGAGTTTATAATAAAGGATATTCTGCTTTTCTTGTCCCAGCCACTAGGGGCCGTCCCACCACATAGCCAGGATTGCCACGAAATAACAACACTGGTGTGCTAGAGATCTCCTGTCAATGAATGTACACAAAACTATTACTTCCTTTTTGTAAAATAAAATGAATTAATTTTACATAACTTAAAATAAAATAATACATTTTAAATAATTACAATTATTTCAAGAAAATATGTAAAGGGTAGAATTAAATACCTGCAGGAATGTAATCTGCAACTCTTGCTGAATGGGCACCGTGACGCTTTTAATGGCTCCCAGCAAAACTGATGCTATCACATTCAGGATTTCCCCAGCTTCACTGTATCTGAAAGTGTACTTCACCTGACAGAAAAGTTATGGTTTTGTTAAACAGTTTATGATTCCTGATACTTTTCAGATTTCTGATTAGTAACATATACATTATGTGCACACCTGCTGTACAACGTTGTTGTACAGAAGCACAGGAATATAGGACACAAGGTCAGCTGGGTCCCCCGGTGTCTGTGTGCCCTCTAAAGAATGCAGAGTAATGGCTGCCACCTCCACACCAATGACCTCAGGTAACAAACAGAAAGCAAGTCAGAGTCAATGTCTTTAATGCAAATAGTACATCATATGACATTCTTTTGAAAAATGGCTTACTTTGTCTTCCTGGATCTTTCCCTAGAGAAAAAAAACAAGGGATGTTAAATAACACAGTAACAATAAAACCCCTTTCAGACCAGTGTTAATTTTGACAGCAAATTTTGATTTAGTTTTAGTCATAGTCTTATGACTAAAATGCCATTTAGTTTTAGTCATATTTTAGTCATTTGAATTGTTTTTAGTTTTAGTCTAGTTTTAGTGGACTAAATCTACAGTAAATTTAGTCGGCTAAAATCTAATGGGTTTAGTTACAGTGTAATGCATTTATTAAGCATTTCTCTAAATTTTGCGAGAAAACAAAGAACAAGAACACGATCTTCTTTTTAATGAAATACAAATGGTTATATAAGCTAATTATGCATTCTTTATAGCAACTTGTTTACCATATTCTTCATTCTTTCAAGCAGACATATTTATTTCTATAAATAAATTTAGATTAATCTTTAGGACTACTAAAGATTCGACATCATTTTGTGTGTAATTCTCCGTTCATGCGACGCAAAAGAGTCCTCGCGCGCTGTGAGATGCGCTTTCTGTGTGTGTATGCTTCAGTGTCTGCGCTCAGAAAACCGGACCGAATTGAGTTCTCTCTTGCATCGTCAGATTTATCCATATGTCTGCTCTTCTCTTACTCCCACATATTGACATTTCTGAACGTTTTATGCGACGTGCAGCAAGTGTATGTTACCACGCAGCAGATTCGATCTGAATTAATCTCTTCCCAAATCGTCCCTCCCTAATATTTTCGTCTCGTTTTTATTCGTTGACGAAAATGTCAATAGTCATAGTTTTTGTCATCCAAAATGAGTTTTAGTTCGTTATCGTCTCGTCATCGGTGAAAAAAAATGTCCTTGACGAAAATTATGACGAAAATTATTCATCAACGAAATTAATAGACTTTGGTTTGAAGACTGAGATGTGACGAGGAACTCACAGGACGGATATTGAAAATAATATAAGTCTCCAAGCGCAGAGCTTCTAGTGTTTCACAATCTCGTGCCAAATCAAAGCTCCTCATACATCTGCTAGTCTGGCCCTTCAGAAAAACTGTAAAACAACAGGGTAATCTATGTTGAGCATATTAGAACATCTAGTCAGGTGCAAGTGACTCAACACCAACAGGAAAACACAAAAATGATAACCACTAATCCTACATATCACACTGCTATATGAATGTTGCCTCAAACCATGAAGCTTGTTGTTGCTATTAAAATACTGTTTGGATATGCAGCATTAACATTTTCTTCAGAATAAGTCGTTGTTCTGTCCTACCTGCAGGGTTTGCGTCTGAGCAGTGAGCTCTTCCTGCGGAGGCAGGAAAGGTGAAGAACTCCTGCTCTCCAGCCTCATTCACTGTTTGAATGACATCTCCATACGGAGGACAGGACAGAGACAGAAACGCTGCTTAACCTTACTGGCTTACTGTATCATATTTTGACCTCTAAATTATCAACTTGATCAAAGGTTTACCTGATTATCCATACATAATTTCAATCATGTTCAAATGTGAGTATCAAATATGATCCATTAGGAAACTTGAGGAATGTTTATTTGTTCGTCTCTCAATCATCATTGTATTGCATTGCATTATATGTTTTGCCCCACAATAAAAACTACAGAGCTTTGATCATAAAACTAAGCATTTAAATATTATATTACTAAGACCTATTATTGGTTGATATTGATTGATATATAGCTCCAGCTCATAATTTACTGTGCTGTTATAAAGATCTCATTGATTTACAAGCTATCAGAATTTCATCTCACGACATCATTTTGTGTGTAATTCTCCGTTCATGCGACGCAAAAGAGTCCTCGCGCGCTGTGAGATGCGCTTTCTGTGTGTGTATGCTTCAGTGTCTGCGCTCAGAAAACCGGACCGAATTGAGTTCTCTCTTGCGTCGTCAGATTTATCCATATGTCTGCTCTTCTCTTACTCCCACATATTGACATTTCTGAACGTTTTATGCGACGTGCAGCAAGTGTAT